TTTGCTTCTCCGTTTTTTGCTTCCATTTTTCCTTCCAGACGGCTGGCGTTAACACAACAGACAAAGAAATGGAAGTCCTTCACTTAAGGAATGTCTCATTTGAGGATGCTGGGGAGTATACATGTTTGGCGGGTAATTCTATTGGGATCTCCCATCACTCTGCATGGTTGACAGTTCTCGAAGGTATATACTCCTCTTCCTCTCCCTTTCCTCCCTCCTTTCCAATGTATGCATTGTGGTCCGGGAGAGAGCACTTGCCAGCCCCTGCCCACCTGGAGCCGGTGGGCGAGCAGCTGGAGAGCTGTGGGGTTACTCCCTGCAGCCAGAGTGGGATGGGGCACATGTCCCCCCACCCTGAGCCCCCTCAACCCCCTATTGGGGTCTGTTCCCCGCTCTCTCCCTGGCCCAGGCGATGCATACCTGGGGGAGCTTAACCAGGGGCTGCTCCACCGGAGCAGGATGGTCCTGCACCCCAGGGCATGGCCAGCACTGCCCACGCAGGGGGGTATGGGGTGGCAGCAGGGTCCGGGGGGTGCTGGCAGGGCTGCCCCCCTGCCTGCCAGGGAGCTGGCCTTGCCCAGTGGCACAGGACACGTGCTGGGGCTGTGTGTTGCTTCTGCTGCACTGCTGGGGACGGTTGTCCCCATCCCCATTGATGCTGCTCCTCAGGCATCAATGCTGCATGGACCAAAGCCTGATAACTGCAGCCAGGAAAGTTTTTGGGATGCTGTGTGGTTGTTGCTTTCCAGCCAAAAACTTTCCCCGTTATCAGCCACTGCTTTGTCAGCCGGGTGTGCTCGGAGGTGGGACAGAAACCTTCAACTCCCTCTTACACCTCTCTCTGAGGCTCTGTTCTTTAGGGGGGTCAGGCTGGGGGGATGCCAGGGGTGCGATGGCAGCTCCCACCCTGCCAGATTCACCAGGGCTTGTGGCCATACGGGGCCGTGCTGTGTGGCTGCAGCTGCTCTCAGCTGTGCATGGCACTGCCACCTCCTCTGCCACCAGCGGCCACCAAAGCAGGGGCTGGCCCGTGGCACTGCAGGGATGGGACCCTCCTCCTCCTCAGCCAGGGGGTCCCGTGGCAGATCCCTGCTGCTGGAGGTGCTTCTGCCTGCTCTGCCCTGGGCTCTGCTGGTCGTTGTCAGAAACACCCCAGGCACTGCTGGATGGCCCCTGTACCCCGCTGTGCTCAGGGTGACCCCAGACCCCGAGAAGGAAAGGGGACCTGTCCCCGGGGGTGCCACAGCCCTATGGAGTGATGCAGCAGCATCCCCAACGCAGCCCCCTGTGGGAGACCTGGCCAAGGGGACATGGACACTGTCCCCTAACTTCACACCTCTGTCATTGACCCCTTCCCAGCCCAGGGACCCAGGCCAGCCGTGCAGATGCAGCAGAGGCTCTGCCTGGCTGCGGGGGTACACAGACACCTTCCCCACCAGGGCAGGTGGGCAGGCATCCCCGCCAGTCTCACTGCACCCAGGCAGGACCCTGTCGATCCTGGGGGGGAGCAGGGGCTCCCCCAGCACCGCTCTGCTCCTTGGCCCCAGGTGGGCTCACGGGTGCTAATGTCCTGTTCACACCAACCCAGCTATTGAGGACACCCCAGCCATGATGACGTCCCCCCTCTACCTGGAGATCATAATCTACTGCACGGGCGCCTTCCTCATCTCCTGCATGGTGGTGACCGTCATCATCTACAAGATGAAAAGCACCACCAAGAAGACAGACTTCAACAGCCAGCTGGCCGTGCACAAGCTGGCCAAGAGCATCCCCCTGCGCAGACAGGTAACAGAAAGTAGAGAGGGGGTTTGTTTATACCTACTGCCCCTCCTGGGGGACTTACCCTTCCAAGGGGGGGTGGTTTCTGGATAAGGATGAATGGGGGGAGGCCCAGGACCATCTTGCCTTGCTCCTTGTGCCACCCTCTTCGACCTCGTGCCCATCTGTGGTGTGGAGTGGGGACTGTCCATGGGCTGTGAGCATCAGGGTGACAAGGAGGACCCAAAGGACTGGCAGCACTTTAACGCTGGAGCAGAAGAGCGTGTTGTACACGCTGAGGAGACAGGAGGACTCCCAGGCTGTGTGTTTCATGGTATCAGCGTGGTAGAAATCAATTAAAAATGGTTTAGTCCAGGTCCAACGTGGAGGCAGCACCGATGGGGCAGAGGGGGCTGCGGGCAGGGTTGGGAGGTGAAGGTTCCAGGTCAGCATCTCCCGGCCGGGCGCGGGGCCCGGCGCTGCGTGAAGGTAACGCACGGTCCCTGCAGGTGTCGGCCGACTCCAGCTCCTCCATGAACTCGGGCGTGATGCTGGTGCGGCCCTCCCGCCTCTCCTCCAGCGGCACCCCCATGCTGGCCGGCGTCTCCGAGTACGAGCTGCCCGAGGACCCGCGCTGGGAGCTGCCCCGGGACAGGTGAGGTCCCATCCCTACTTCGGCACAAGCTGGGTGGTGGCATCATGGATGTCTACACTGGTGAGCGACGTGCTTCCCACACACACGCACCCTGGGGTCTCTCCTCCCGCCAGGCTGATCCTGGGCAAGCCCCTGGGAGAAGGATGCTTCGGGCAGGTGGTGCTGGCAGAAGCCATCGGCCTCGACAAGGACAAGCCAAACCGGGTGACCAAGGTGGCGGTGAAGATGCTCAAGTGTAAGTGGTGGCAAGAAGGGGAGTCCCAGCACAGTACCCTGGATGGGGATGGGTGTGTGCAACGTGAGGGGACTCAGCTTGGTCCCCCCTCAACCTCTGCCTTCTCCTCCACTTCAGCCGACGCCACAGAGAAGGACTTGTCCGACCTCATCTCCGAGATGGAGATGATGAAGATGATCGGCAAGCACAAGAACATCATCAACCTGCTGGGGGCCTGCACGCAGGATGGTGAGGTCCCCTCTGCCACTGCTCTGACCACCATCTGCACTGGAGGGGCTGATCCTACACCCACGGTGGTCCAGCCCCTCATCCCACCTTCCCCACAGGACCCCTCTATGTGATCGTGGAGTACGCGAGCAAGGGGAACCTGCGGGAGTACCTGCAGGCCCGGCGGCCCCCCGGCATGGAGTACTGCTACAACCCCACCCGTGTCCCCGAGGAGCAGCTCTCCTTCAAGGACCTGGTCTCCTGTGCCTACCAGGTGGCCCGTGGCATGGAGTACCTGGCCTCCAAGAAGGTGAGGAGCACCTAGGGAGCTGTGGCAGGATGGGCAGCCTGATGGCTGGGCTCTGGGGGTGCACCCTTCCCTCCCGGCCCGTTTCATCATGGGGAACCCCCTGGGGGCTTTGGGGACCACCTGACAGTCCCGTGCTGGGTCAGTGCATCCACAGGGACCTGGCGGCCAGGAACGTCCTGGTGACCGAGGACAACGTGATGAAGATCGCTGACTTCGGTCTGGCCCGTGACATCCACCACATCGATTACTACAAGAAGACAACAAACGTGAGTGCTGGGCAAGGGGCTTTGCCGGGGTGGGCGAGGGCAGGAGTGCTGGGGGTGCCCCAGCCCACACTGGCAATGCCACGGGGCTGTAGGGCTGGTCCCTCAGGTCCCCTGGCTCCTCCTGGGTGGCACGGAGCCAACGTGGGGCTTTCTGGTG